ACCAGAAAGGAGAGGCGGCGATGGAAGATGAAGGTGTTTGCGCCTGAGTGGATGTGGTTGCTGCTAAAGTCAAAAATGAACCGTAGACGTTCGGCTAACAAGGTATATAGGTTGGTAAACGGACTAAGAATGCTTTTAATGCTTAAGGAGCACGTCTGTTCGATAGAAATCTATTTCTGCATTTTGTATGTCTGTAGCTTTTGATCCTATGGATTTGTGCACACAGATTAATTTTAAAGTAGTTTTTTTTGTGGACACTCATATATACTTTACTACAACGTAACTTTTAAAAATGTGACCTCGCGGTAGATTAGGCATCAGATGCAGTTTATTAAATTTAGTATTTTCCTATTCTTTATGCGACCTTCAGATTAATCACGGTTTGTAGCTCTCTTTCTAATCAGACTGACTCTAATTGTTTCATTTGGTCACACTCTAATTGTTTCAACGCGGGTGTGACGTTGGTTCCATTGCCCTCACTAGTCTTCTATCATCAGACATTGCCAGTTTTCTTCATTTTAAGCCTCGTTGTCTTATTATCGTTCTTTGGCTTATTCGTGGCGCTGAAATCAACGGTCCGTAGCTACGTTAAATGAAAATAGTGCTGATCCTGTTGTCTTTGACAGATGCCAGTCATATAGCGTTCTGTTATCCAGTCTGCATTGCATTCATTTTTCAACATCTTTCTATTAGCTAATCACTCTTTGTCATATATCTTTGAATAGTGTAATATATAATCTATATCAGGGTTTCTTGAAGAAGAATGTAAGACTACATTGTAACTGTTCAGGAATCCAAATTTTAATTTGTACAGCAATGAACTATTGTCATAATATATATGAATGGATATTTTTCCTGATTTATTGCCAGTCTTATCCGTTGCGTCGTGATGACGCTAACGGTATAGCAGCGAAACGTTTTTGCAATAAAGTTTTACCGTCAGCTTTGTTTACTACCGTCACCCAAGAGTCAGCAACTTAGCTACTGTTTTAACAACTGATCTTCAATTAGAAAGCGGAAAATCAAAATAGGTGGATATTTTTGTAAATAAAATTGCTTGAACAAGGAGTGTTAGAGTGCAAGTACTTTGAGAAAGAGACATTTTCTCTTTTGATACCAGACTGAAAATGCGTAGTGGCACCGTCCTTTCCCTTCTAGTCGCCTAGAGGACCATTTAAGCAGGCCACACCTCCAAGGTATTTAAGCACCTGCAGTGTATCGATGCAGAACCGCGTCACTAGGCAGGGCCAAACAAAGGCTTGTTCGGGTACCTGGAAATATGCGACGATCCATAGTCATTTGTACATAAAAGCAAAAGCTGATCTTGTGGGTTTACTAGCATACTGCTATTTATCGATACTGCCGCTAAGAGAAATAACACTTTCTCTTTGGATACCGGATTGAAGTGGCGTAATAGCACTGTCCTTTTGCTTGTAGTCGCCTAGGAGACTATTTAAGCAGGCCACGGCTCACTGGCATTTGAACACCTGCAGTGCATCGATGCAGAACCGCATCACTAGGCAGGGTCGAACAGAAGCGTGTTCGTGCTCAGACACCTGTA